ATCACAGACACGCCGCGCCGCAAGCAGCGGGGAGAACGCAGGAGGAAGAAGCCGGTTTGCCGCACTCGCTCTGTACACAGCCGGCGTTGCGCCGGAGAGAGGAACTGGTGAGGAAGAAACGCGCGTGGCCCACGAGCAAGGTCCTCACGACGCGGGTCAGTCAGTCGGCGAACGACCGTTGAACTAGCAAGGCGCCACGAGCAAACCTCTCCCGACCACGAGGGGAGCTGTAAGAGCTCTCGTCGCTAGGAGTTCGGCGTCGACGCGTCGAAGACGCACGTCGGCTCAGCTGGACCGGCACGTTTGTGAACCCGGACCGAGTCTCGCCTATGGATCGGTTTTGAAGGGCCTCGCCTTTGCTTCTTCTGTCGTGTCCAGAGGACATCGACGATCCGTCGGGTCACTGGCTCTGTTTCTTCTTTTGGTCTGTGCGAGGTCGAGTGAAGCTTTCGTTTCGCAGACTGGTAGTGGACGTGGGACTGTCTTTTCAAGAACCTGCGACCGACGGCCACACTCACTTTTTATAGGGAGTAATAGATCTAAGGTAAGCTCTCGTGTTATTTTGTCGTTGTCCTGTCTACACTTTTACAAACACGTGCACGTCAGAAGATCGCTACAATACAGTCGCGAAAGAAAACGATGGCTGCAATGAGATTGCTAGAAAACGGGATGAGGCACGTAATGTCAATAGTGATATCAGCGGTTTTTGATGCGATAATCACGATGTAATTTGTCGCACGTCACAGGCAAGGGATTCGATGATGTAAATCATCTGTGATTCTTAGCGTGCACCTGAATCTTGGCACAGGGGTACTTTTATTTTCACTCCATTGAAACGTGACTGCCGTGGTCGGGATTCAACTTTGCGACCTGCAGGTCAGAAGTCATGCACCGTAACCACACAATCACAGCGGTTGGTAGTGATATAGGATACCTACCGGACAGTGAGCGTGATGTGTCAACCAACAGATGCTAGGTAAGCTTTGTCGTAGTACCGAAAATCGCACGTGTGTGGTCTGGGCATTTGTTTTGGCAGACACGTGTTTCGCCGCTTACTCTGGCAACACGTGCATCAGAAATGTGAAACGGACTGTATTATCTGATGTAAAAAAAGTATCTCCTTCGGGGTGTTGTATACTTGATTGCACTTGTGGAATTGGACGGATACTTGTTCAAGATGTAAGAGTACAACCTTAAGGTTGCCACCTGTTCCATGCGTTCGGTCCGATTCGGTTCGTGTGCGTAAGATTTTGAGTGTGCATTCGTCGACATTGTGCCAACGGTACGTCACGGTAGTGTAGCGGTTATGGAGCTTGACTGCTGAAGCAAAGGTCGTGGGTTCGATTACGGCAACGGCGGTCGTATTTAGATGGAAGCAAATTGGCAGATGCACTCGTGCTGTGCGATATCGGAGTGCTCTAGTGAACCACAGACGATCAAAATTTCCGGAGCCCTTAGATACAGCGAAACTCGTAATCGCATCTTGGTTTGGCACGCGAAAACTCTATACTCGAATTGCGTTTCGTCACTTGGCTGGTGGTGGGCGCAGATACAAATTTCTCTGTCATCTTCACGGACACTTGTAGATGTGTTGCAGTAGGACTCTAACGATGGTGACTAAATTCTGTCAACATATATGAGTTATAATCTGCAGTTTATCATTGTTATCTCGAAGGCCGACATAATTTAGCGCTACTCCGTGTCCCTTTAGTTATGCCCCTTATCCGTGGTGGCTGCGCTTGTGTAGACTGCTTGCGGATGCTAGTTATGAGAACTTGTGGCCGAGAGAGAGCTAGAAACCTTGTTTATTGTATGAATGGATTCCTGTACATAGTTTATATTCTGGGACTTTACATCCACGTACTGCATATGGCTGTCGTCGATCACTTTGGTAAAAATACTACGCCGTTCGACAGTTATTTTCATGTGTCACGTTCTCGGACAAAGGTTAAGGCACTGCTTTTCTTCTTTTTGAAATGGGTGCCACCGGAAAATACTTGTGCACGCATTTTGTGCGTATGACTTCGTTCTTTTTATGTCCAAGTAGAACTGAATGCAGAAGAATGAAACATTGAAGTGCACGCAAGGTACAAATATTTACTGAAATTCAATGAAACAACAAATTGCATTATTTTCTGTCTTGGAATTGAATATTGGGTCCCCTAGAATTGTCCTGTATGAAGAGAACTCAATCGTAGTCAGCGAATAATATTTCGAGCCTGAAAGGGTTATTCAAATGGAGGTGTTTATAGGCCGTGTAGTGCTTATATAAGCGGTGAAACCGTTCTTGATGCTGAGTGCAGTCTGGACCACTATTTTCTATTTCTCTGTGTGTGTGAGGTGTGCAACTTTTGGCGATGACAATGAGGTTGAGTTCTTTTAAGCTCTACTCAAATTGTTCTGTCACATGTACGGTCAGACGTATTGTGTGCGGGCACGGGTCGAAGTAGATTCTCACATTTTTCATCAAAGTATCTAGGCCGTGGTATTTCAGAATCAGATGTGGCTGAGCATATACCGTTATCCTGAATATTGATGGCTGCATATCTGCCACACGTGTTTTGTGCACGGTGACGACATTTTTTTTGGGGGGCCAGCTGGCTTTAGTGCTGTTGAAACGTGACAATCTCTCGAGTCTACAAGCGTTCCATTTATCAAGTGGACTTACTGTACAAATGATAGCCTCTTACTTAAATGTTGTATATATTTTATGTGATTTTCAGTGAGTGTCCGTTAGCCTTACACATAAGGTGCTTGTTAGTAGACAAGGTTCTTAAAGCCCATAGTTATTGAAAATGAGTATACTCGAACATTCAAGCGTGCCAGTGTCTTGTTAAAGTTTGGCTTTTCTGGGAGTGGGTATGTTCGCATAAAGTAGACCTATAAGCTCCGGAGCATTCAGCAGTAGTACTGTGAGAGTGGTATTTATGGATGGTGGGAAACTACCAATACATTTACTGGTGCTGTAGACAACGAAAGACAAGTTATACGCGGTTCTGCGAACGCGGAACGCCTTGCAACATGTAGCTTTCACTAGTTTGAAGCCAATACTTCTGAAATAGTAAATGCGTTACGGGAAAATGTGCCATGCGCAACAACTGTTACCGGTGTGAAATACCTACGGCGGAATAGGTACATCTCGGTGGAATAGATACAGCGCTCATGTTGTCCTACACTTCGTCGGCGTTTTTCTTGCGCTGTGAGTTATCGAAAATAAACTATCACCCAACTAGCCCACATTTCCCTTATTGAACACCTTCCAGTATGTGCTAAATGTCGGGCTCTTTTATAGTCAGACGAACGATGTTATTCCGCCCACCGCATCGTCTTTTGGGCATCGTACATTAACGCATAGGGCTTCTTACAAGATGGCAGTGCACGTTGCCATGTCGTTGCACAATAAAGAACATCGGGTGGCCCGTAGTTCCGGAACTTTTCTCTAAGAAGTGGCTCACAATCAAATCGAGGTTTTAGGAAGTAATACTCGCGATAGTATTTTTATTCATCAGTGACGTCAATGTTGCGATGCTATCGAAGCTAAATTATATCACCGAGAGAAACACACATCGAGCTGCCAGCAAGGTATACGTATGCTTCATTGGAAGGCTTCGAAAATCCGTTGCTGTGCCAGCAAACGGCCATGATACACACGCTACTCAGACTGCAATTTACTGCACGAAAGCTACATGGCCTCTTAAGAACGGCAGCCATCGTATAAATATCGCTGTCTACCAACGCGCGGCATTCATTCCTCAAGCCAGGTGTGTGACTGTGCGTCTGTCTCGCCCATTGCGTAACTCATAACCGGTGGCACATTCTTTTCAGAGGGACCACCACTCCGAGACCCCTTCGAAGAAAGCGTCTGGCGCCAGAGGGCACAAGGAGACCGACTGTTTGCGGGGATATTCGTTCGACATCAGGACGTCGTGTACAAGTTTCTTTGGGCCCCGAAGACGGAGCGCATATCTTCAGCCCTACCGAAGCCATCGAGTTAGCCGCTAAAGAAGTCGGCATATCGAACAGGGAAGCTGGAAAGCTCGGCAGGCCCGTAACCCCGATCGCGAACCGCCACTCCGTCGTCTCCAGCACCGAGAAATTCCGCGGAGGACACACGGGAGATTGGCGAAAGAGAGAGAGAAAGACGCACCCAGCGAAACGCGAACGCACACACAACGCTCTCGGCGAAAGACCAGAAGAGACGGGCAGGTGCTCGCTGCCAGCTTCGAAACTAGAAGGCTTCTACGGCGGCAGCAATCACACGCAAGAGCGGACCGAAGACAAACGTGACGCTTTCGACGTGTGTGCCTCGTGTTCTGCTTGCCGTTTCTTACGACCGAGTGCGGCCCCGTCCACGGTTCGACAAGAAACTTATACCACTTCTTGCTCGAGGAGTTCGTAGCGCGGACGTTCCCCCGGAGGGGCTCGCCTGCCTACCTACCCTGACTGCCTAGCAGCGAGCGAAAAGGGCGCTCTCTTCCAGGCCCCAGCGAACGGCTCACTGCATCGGGAACATCTCTTCTCCGACGCGCTTCTTTTCCTTTATTGCTCCGCCTCTATCACGAGTGGCTTCTTCCTCCTCATCCCCGCTCGCTCGCTCCGGCCTCCGGGAGAAGGTCAAGAGAACCACCTGGCCGAAGAAGAAGAGTGTGCCGGCCGGCGCGAAAACGTAAGCGCGAAAGCGGTTCGTTCTGAGGGCCACCGTAGCACCTTCTCGGTTTCTTTGATTATTTTCTCTCCGGTGTGGCTCCGTTCGACTCACGCCTTTTTCGCTTGGAGTTTGTCGTTCCGAAAGACCAGGATCTCTGTTTTGACTGAGTCTGCCCGGACAAGCTTGACACATTTGTGCGTGCTGTGTGTGGGTGTGTTAGTGTCTCTCAGTACGCCAGTTTATCGGCCATCTTCTAAAAGCACATCTGTCGACCAGAGTGTCGCCGAATAGTTATTCACTGCCTGCCGGGACACCCATCGCTTCGGTTATACTTTAAAAGTAGAATGGCTGCTCAAGACTTCGTCTGGGGTTGCGCGAACTGCTGAAGAATATTTCTTCAAAGTTCGAAGTAAGAGTCGTGGCAAGTGAAAGCCGACCTCGAAGATTACATCGAGGATGACCAACCGAGCGAATCGTATCAAGGTTGCCGTCCTTGGTGGGCCAAGGTCCGGAAAGTCTGGTGAGTGGATCGGTACATGAAATCTTGTTGCTTTCTCACTTTGACCTCTTGACCCCTCCCTTTGGCATTCCGATGCCGCTGTCCCCCTACTGTGTCGCTCTGTCTTGTGGGCACCTCCGCATGATAGACGATATTCTGTGACCTTTACGGTCGTACATTCCTGCCTGTCAAGAGAGCTCGCTTTCCAAAGCTATACTTGCGTCAATGTGGTAGAAAAAGTGTGTTTTTTTTCAGAGGTTGTTCGCTCCGACAAAAGAGCCTTGTAGTCTTTGTGGATAAACACTTATTTTGTTGGTTGCTTCTGCCAGTGAGGGATCAGTGAAAAAGGTTTCCTTGATAAGCTGTGCGTATTCTTTGTTTTAAAAAAATAGTAGAATAAGAATGTAGCCACATTACCGAGACACATTCGAGCGTGCACTTTTACAGCGAAAGCTGTTATGTGATCACAACACAGATAAAGTGCGCCCCGTAGTTGTCCACCACCGCCGCCGGTATCCGTAACCGCTATAAGCACACCAAGAACATAATGAGATTCGAGCCCGAGTCCCCTAAGTTGTATGCCAGTATTCTATCACTCAGTCACGACGGTGCTTGGAACATCCTTGCAAATTGGTCCTAGGCATGCTTTATTCCGGGATAGGAATCTGTTAATATGAGCAATAAAGCGTTGCGGAAGAGGAAAAAAAACTATTGAGTGGGTCGTCGAATGCTCCAGCCACATTACAGAATCTTGATATTGTTCACCTATCAACTCTGGCGCATAACCACTGTGAGAGATTGTGGGGATTACAAAAGCGTCTGGCATCATTCTTCATCGTCGTCAGCCGCAGCACACAAAGTTTGCTCAAAGTTTCTTGCAAGTGTGGAGCAGGTACCACGCTTCTCTGGAAAATGACGAAGGATGGCATAGTGAATGCCTGCCTACTCGACAGTAGTTATTGGCGTTATGGGTACCCTGCAAGTGTGCTTGCTGCAGCTACCCAAAGAATGTAAAAAAAAAAACTCTTCAAGGCCTTATAGCTTTCGCTGTGACAGTACTGCACGTTTAGTGAAGGTCTGGTAGTTTTTTTTATGATTAACAGTTTCCACATCTAAACGTTAAACACGATCATCACGTTAGATTGGTTTCATTATTGATGCTTGATATTATGGTTTCCACAGGAGATCTAGAACAGGGTTTTCTTTATTTACGTCTCCTGCATCGTGATTGTGACAGGTGATTTTAGGTCGAAACTGAGAGCAACTCCTATAGAGAGAAAATATCGTTTGTGAATGTACAATGTATGTAAACTTATAAAGTCAACATTACGTGTCAATGCAGAACCTGTGCGCTGACAGGAAACATTTAAGGCCGTGGAAAAATACTGATGATAAACCGCATTACTTGTCCTTTACAGGTAAATCATCTTCTAGATAGAATGCTCGAATGTGTGCCTATAATCTTGCTGGCGCCCTTACTACAAGTGGCCTGGGCTGAGTAAACAATGTCCAATTATAATAGCAGACAACTTTACTAGCTAATTGGTAGTCATGTTAAAAACACAAGACCTGCGAACATAAACTAGACAAGAGAGAAGTCGCAACGGGAGCATTTGTGGTGCCTTGAACTCTCTTGCGTCCGTGCTTGCACACCCTGTCTCTTTAACAATGCTAATTGCTCGCTTGGTTTTGCTGGCTAATGTAAAAACGGCCCACCGTGAGTTATTCCCTGCAAACACACATGAATATGCTCTTTCGAGAGTTCAAAACGCGGAAGTTACGTTGCGCTCAAGTGAGACTCTTAATTTTTGTATTTCACAAGGTTACAGACACTAAGATGCTTGTCATCACGCTCTTTCTTGCGATTACTCATACCTTGGAAATGTATATGCACGATTACTTACCTTTGCGTCATAGAGGCGTTGCAAGGATACCGGATAAGGAAGAAGGGGTTACTTGAAGGTGCTACAAGGAGTTACGTGCAGATGAATGAACCAGCATCATGGGCCTTGCCACGTAATTGGAAAACGCAATCTGCTCAACGCCGTGATGCATTGAATCACCGCAAATGAGCTTAGCTACACCATCGAACAACTAGAACGAAGACGGTGCGTGATCCATGACTTGTGTCTTTTTCTGTTAGATATATCCTAGCCAACAAACAGACAATGAAGCTAAGGATAGTATAGGGGACATTACGTTCATACTTCAGCTGCGCTAAAGTAGTTATATGATAAATAGAAAAAGCTAAAGTGTTTGAAAAATCTACCTGACCCAGGTAGAAACCAAGCCCACAATCATCGAATAACACGCCCGATGATCTTCCATTTGAGCTTCAGCGGTGTTTGCATTCCCATTCACATTACTAGGCATTCATGCTTTTTTTTCGTAATCCTGGTACTGCTAGCCAGAGCTAGCCAGTTTGCCATGCCTCCATGTAAGAGGCCATAGCTAAGTAAAGCCATCACAACTAGGCACAAGTCTTCATTCGAAGCTTCATCGCATTTTCTTCAAGTGATTCCTTACTTGTCCTAGTTGCCTGCACGAGTGATGTATTCATCACAAAAGCGAGTCCTTGCACTCGGCCTTTCAGCCACGGGAACGTTTTTTTCTCGACTGTATCGAGACTGCATGGTTAATTATCTTTAGAATTCATCCGATAGCTTATTAAATGCGGTTGATCTTGTTCTCGATGTCTTATTCGTACATTTAGTTCACAGGACTCACGCATGTTTGAACTGTTCCCCCAAACACTTACGCATTTCCGAAGAAATCGCGAAACTACAAACGAAGAACGAAAACGACAAGGTACAAGCTGTTCGTATGCAAAATTTCGCTTCTTACGAAGAATAATCAGTACTTGCTAGTACAATCTACGTGTTTATTACGGAACACATAGTGAAAGTTGGGTTTGAAAGAAATTTGAACAGCTTAGCACGCTGTTTTGATTGCGCTGTGACCTTGATGACAATAAAATAAACCATAGTAGTCCTTGATTATGTCATGCATGGCTCTATGGGACGTTCATTAAATTATTACCGGAACCACCATGGTGGTTTTGTGACTAAGGTACTCGGCTGCTGACCCGCAGGTCGCGGGATCAAATACCGGCTGCGGCGACTGCATATCCGGTGGAGGCGGAAATGTTGTAGGCCCGTGTGCTCAGATTTAGGAGCACGTTAAAGAACCCCAGATGGTCGAAAGTTCTGGAGACCTCCACTACGGCGTCTCTCATAATCATATGGTGGTTTTGGGACGTTAAGCACCGCATATAAATCAATCAATCACGTTTATATTCATCCAGGCTATAATCACTTGGAAAAAAATGCGAAACAAAAAAGCACGTAAATGCTGCGCTGTTCGCGTTTTTTCCCCACCACCTCAGTGCGTCAGATCATCCAGCTTCCGCTGTGACGTCACATTGCTTTGTTACGTCACAGCATGCTTGTCAGGGATCTCTGCACGTATATTAACAAGCGCCTTAAACCACGTTAGGTTCTCGAGACAGTTGAATTGATATAAGTGGTTTGACGTTCCGAAACAACCTTATAATTATGAGAGACGCCCAAGTGGAGGGCTCCGGAAATTTTACAACCTGGGTTCTGTACTGAAATCTAAGCACACGGGCCTACATCATTTTCGCCTGCGTCAAAAATGCAGCCGCCGCAGCCGAGATTCGATCCCACGACCTGCGGGTTAGCAGCCGAGTACCTTGGCCACTAGACCACCATGGCGGCACAGCTCCGCGAGATAGTAAGTATTAGATACAGCTGTAGGCCATCGTTGACAACACGTCAACGGCAATTCATTTACTCACAAAGGCCTTACGAATTTCAATTTCCCGCTGATGCTACGAAGAGACATCAGAAGCGTATTAATCAGTTACATGCCACTTAATAGGAACACCATTATTTTCACGAGTTCTCTGCAATTGATGTCGTCTTGGTGACCGCTCACATTATAGACCCACCGACTGTAATTTCGTTTAAATCGACCCGTTCTATTACAACCTTTCTCAAGCAAATAAATGTTCGTGGTTTTCAATGTTTGTCTAGGTTGCTTCTTGGCGGCAGTCATTTAAGTAGTCTTTATTAATTCGCGTAGTCGACTGTTCGAACAGCGTTTGCCCCTCAAGGATTCCAGAAAGCGATCAGGCAAGTTCATCGTCTGCCGCAACTCGCAAGCCCATCTACGAGGCCCGATGTACTGCAGATGACTTGCGAGGAGCCGAAGCAGACGCATTTCAAACAGAAGCGGGCCGCCGAGAGAGTCAACAGGAGCCAACGCTAATGCTAAGCCATACATAGACAAGCCAAGACGGACGACTCGGCCGCGTCGAGGGCCCGCTCGAACAAGAAAGCGCCGATCGTGACCGACTCTAGTCGGTCCCGAAGTTCGGTGAACTTGAAGGGCGATCGCGTATCTTTGTTTGTTTGCTTCAATCTCGGTGTCCCTGTCTACACGTGAGTTGTTTGCTGCGGTGACATTTATTAAAGATAGCAGAGGGGAGCCAATCACAGCCAATAGAACCGGACTGCCGTGTTGGGTAGTGGATGAGGTAAGGAGGGGGGGGGGGGGAGGGTTAACAGCTAAGAAGGAAACGCGGTCAATGGGATAGTGGTCATCTGTTCTTTAGCGCCCCGGTGGCAGCCGCAACGCCGTCGGCGCGATATTAAACGGCTAGCTGCCGGCTTTTTCGTTTTTATTTTGTTCGAGCAGTGTCTCGCCGGTGTTTCTTCTTTATTATGTCTCTTTTAGAAACCGATTTCGCCTGGTCTGGCTGTGTGCGCGCGCTCCTTGAGTTGTATGAACGAGACACTGGCGTACCTTACCCGGCGAAGGCAAAATGTAGGTTGCGTTCTACAACAACCAACTCCACAGCTGCCGGGTTAGTGAACTCCAAAGGGTCCTCACATCTTACACGTGAAGAACTGCGCGCGCTGTGGATGCCGCTTGAAGCTTTTCGCGTCGCCCGCTTTCGCACTGGCTGTACGAGACGAACGCGTTTGAAAGCAGATGTC